GCTTTCGGGCCACACGGCAGGGGGCTGCTATGCACCGCCATCACAGCTGCCCCGTTGACAGGGCCAGGTGGCAGCTCATTTGCTTCTTATGTCTCTCCTAATGAATTGTTAATTGGTTTTTGGAACCCGCAGAGTTGGGGGGGGGGCAGAGCTGTGTGGGGACAGGAATGGGGAGGGCCTCCTTGTCACTTCATCTGCATGGCAATTGGATATGGTGTTATTTTGGAGTAACGTTGTCACGCTGGCCCAGTTAAAATGACTGGGTCCTTCTTAGTCTTCACAGATACAGTGTTATTCTGGAGTAACACTGTCACAGTGTGATGTCATTTGGAGTATAGTTGCAGTTAAAATGAGGGGCTCCTTCTTACTCCTCTCAGATATAGTGTTATTCTGGAGTAACACCATCACGCTGTGATGTCATTTGGAAAATAGCTGTAGTTAAAATGAGCGGCTCCTTCTTACTCCTCTCAGATACAGTGTTATTCTGGAGTAACACCATCATGCTGTGATGTCATTTGGAGTATAGCTGCAGTTAAAATGAGCGCCTCCTACTTACTCCTCTCAGATACAGTGTTATTCTGGAGTAACACCATCATGCTGTGATGTCATTTGGAGTATAGCTGCAGTTTAAATGACCGGCTCCTTGTTACTCTTGTCAGTTACGTGTTATTGTGAGTAACGCCGTCACGCCACGATCTTAGACTATAGCTGTAGCTAAAATGAGCAGCAGCTCCTTGTTACTTCTCTCAGATACAGTGTTATTCTTTATATACCTGAGTGCATTTGTGTGCACATCCCCCTCCCACCTGGTTTATGACACTCTTTCTCTCTTCCAGGTGGTAGCACTTAATAAACGGAGCAAAGAGGCAGAGTCAGCCTTCCTTGGAGTCTACAAACAGCTGATTGAAGCCCCAGGTGAGACACCCTCAGAGAGGTGAATCGGGGGGGCTGCTGAGCTCATCTGAAGTGGGTTCGCCTCCTTGTTTGTCTTCTTGGGGGTGGGACCTGGTTGTGGTTGTTGGGTCACTTTCTTATTTAAAGGCTTAAATAGGCAGCACCAACATTCGGTGGTGAGGAAGATAACTCTGCCTTTTTCTGTTGCTGTTGTGGCGGGTTTATGGTTATGGGAGATGGCCGCAGGATGACATCACATCTTCTCGTGATCATGGGAGCACTCCTGACACCTGCTAGCAGAAGGATTTCTGGTTATGGTGGAAGCCTTCTGGTGGAGCCCCCTCTTCTCTCTCACTCTTAAATAAAGCACCACTTCAGCCTTATGTATTAACAAACAGGAGCACTCAGCTACATGGGATCAAGGAGCACTTTCTTCTCAAGCCATCACATTGGCTGTAGAGTTTGGGTTTAAGTTCCCACAATGCATCTGAAAATTATGTAAAAGTTCTTTTCTGTAGACTTTGGCTAAGATTTGCTACTCTATTTGATTCACTAGTAAGAAAAATAGTTTTTGATTTCTTCTATGTGTTTTACAACCTAAATTGCATGGTACTGAAGCATGCCAGAATTTTTTATTTCATTGTGGGCAGTTTTGCTTAGTTTAGACTGGCAGTAGCTGGTTTTGCTTAGTTTAGACTGGCAGTAGCTGGTTTTGCTTAGTTTAGACTGGC